AAAGAAAAGTAACTGTCGTGTGAAAATAAAGAACTGTAAGTGAAAATAAAGAAAGAAATCGTGAGGAAAGAAGACTCGAAAGGATCTGAGAACGAGATATGGCTAGATCTCTACCTTCTAGAGTCGAGTGGAGGATCCTTACACCCTCCCTGCTTGATGCGATGGCTGTATCCATCGATGAAAAAAAAGAAAATATCGCTGATTGAATAAGTTTTACTGAGAAAAGATATACGCACATGCGAAACAAGTAAATAAAAACAACAATAGAGAGAGAAAAAATCAAATACACACAGCACAACGAAAAGAAAATTCCAAACTACACTCAGCACTGGAACGAAAAATCTTTCGCTTTTCTAATAAAAGAATGTAAGATCTTTACGTGTATATATTTATGGAAGGAGAAACAATAAGATAGAAACATCATAGAGACAAAATAGCGCAGTGTAATGTAAATGCTTGGTTAAGGTAAAAAATTGAAATATATCGGAAAAGAACAACGGAAATATCAACATGACACGAAAAAATGAAAGTATTTAAAAGGTACAAAATATACTCAACTACGGAAACAAAACCTGATTAGAGTGAGAGAGAGTTCGGAGGTAGCTAATGAAATACATCATGTCTAATTGTTCCATTAAACTGGGCAACTAATGCATCTGTTTTTAATCCAATAACAACACGATTGCGATGTTTGTCGAGACGAAAATGTACATATGGAACTTGTAAATGACGTAATCTTCGTTTAACGTCTTGATGATGTAAATTGGTATTTAAATGACGAACAATAGTATGATCGAATCGATGAGGACGACGATGTTGACGTCTAATATAATTACGACGTTTTTTACTTGCAGCAGTACGATGTTGAGAATGTTTTTGTTTGACTGGAGAAGATGATCGTTGTTCTGTTGATGGTGGTTTTGATTGTGCGCTAGGAATTTCATCATCATCAGAAATGTCTTCATAATCGAATCCAAGGACATTAGATATAGCAGCTAATGTTGAAGGAGGAGGAGTACGTGGTGTTATTGTGACAATTCTTGATGATGAAGCCAGAATTGGTTGATGATCTCTCATATATTATACTAATTTTGTGATTGATTGACAATCTTTACGAGCATAAGCAACCAGATTTTCACGACGTGTTAATTGTTGACGAATATCATTTGTACGAGCAGAACCAACGAGTTTTGGATGTATATAAGTACCCAACAACGAATCTAAACCACATGCCCATCTTGATATCGTAAAAGATTTGTCCAAAAAACGATTCAAAATAACGGCAACAGCGTTTTGAAGACTCCATGTTGCCTTGGGGTCGCTATATGGATTAATTGGTTTTGTTGGTAGATCAAAGGTTGGTGGAGTTAATATTGTCAATACATTTTCGTCTTGGTCTTGATCTTGATCATTTCCAGATGGTTCGGTATATTGGGTTTCATCCTCTGTTCGAGGAAAAACTCGGTCAAACCAATCTTTAAATTCTCCTTGTACGTCACTTGGTATTGATAAACGAGAATAATCAAATAATCGGTATTTCACAAATGCTGATAACTCTTTTTTTAATGGACCCCAACCATACAATTTATTACCAGTTGTAAATATGATGCCACATAGCTGTTGTATTTTATCGAATAATATTGTCGATTGCGATGGTAAATAAGCCATTTTAATCAACGTAATTGTTGATTGTTGATCAGAGATGACTGCCTCGATTTGTAGTAAAGCAGGAAATTGTTTGTCGCATTCAGTATCAATTGAATAGATGTGTGTTGTTGATGCCATCTGTATAAGTTGGTCTAATAATTCAATTGTTGTGCAGTCATCAATATGATATAATTCATATTGAGATTTTGGAACATCAAATGCATCATATTGTTGACGTAATTGTTCATTTCTGGATGCTTTTCTTGTTGCTGTTTTATAATGATTGCGTTGATCGGAGGTCAATGCTAAATGTGCTGGTGGGACGGATAAATTCTAATCAGAATGGATTTAAGCCTTAGAGAAGGTTAAAGGTCCCAGTAACACTTGTTTATAAATGTAAGGAGGAGATTCTCGTCTTTCTTGCACTGGTATTCGTTGAAATCATTCAATATTAAGAGGTGTAATTTAATAACAAATTACGTGTCGACCCATAATTAGTTAAGAAACACTCAGGACTACGATCTAACTATAATCTGTCAGACAGACAGAATTACAATCAGAATCGTGATTGCATAATAAATAAACGGAACAATTTCGATACGAATAGGAGAGAGTCACAAGAGACGATGTTATAATTAATAAATTTATTGATTGAGGATAATGGGTCTCATGTCATTAACATGAACCCGGGCTTCTTCATTTGTTTCTTGATCTTTCACGAAATATGTTTGATGATGAGCTTCATAAACAATTTTTGGAGTTAGATGATACTTTTCACTGAGTTTTGGTCTAAGACCATGAATTTTTATGAGAACTGAGTCTCCCACTACATAGTGTGGATCAAGACGGTTTTTATCATATCGTTGTTATGATGATTGCTGTTGTTTTAAAATGTTTGCTCGTGCATTTTGATGGTAAATCTTCAAATTTCTTTTTAACTGTTCAAAGTAATCATTGGGCTTGTTAAAAACCAGATATTGCGATGGAGAATCCGTTGGTAGCCGAGGTTGTCTTCCAAATTGTAATTCATATGGTGAATAGTTGGTGGTTGAATGTTGCCATAACATCCGGAAATCGCCGTCGCCGCGGATTCAGTGTTAAAGTGTTAACACTTTAGCGTTAACACTTTAACACTTTAACATATAAGAATCCGCGGCGACGGCGATTTCCGGATGATGCCAATGTTGCCCAGTATTGTAGGCGAACACCACAGCTTGGAGGTATTCGTCCCAATTGTTATACTCTTTTTGCTGAAGCTTTGCTAACTGTGGAACAAAAGTTGCGTTAAATCTTTCTACCATACCATTCGTTTGCGGATGATATGTGGTAGAATAGATGTGGTTATAGCCAATTAAATATGATAAAGCTTCTATCAATTGATTTTGAAAATGAGGACCCCGGTCAGATAATATAGTAATGGGGACGCCATAATGACAGATATATTCTTTAAATAATGCTTTTGCTGTTGATTGTGCTGTACAATCAGGAAGCGCAATGGCCGTTACCCATCTGGTGAAATAATCCGTTATGCATAACACGTAAAGATTTTCACTGGGAGTGCGTGGAAACGGGCCAGTAAAGTCGATATCAATCATTTCAAAAGGACCATGAGGTGGCTCGACAGGATGTAATTTTCATGGTTTCTTTTGACGATTGTGATTATTTTGCTGACATGGAAGACATGCGCTGATATATTGAGTGATTACATATTTCATGTTCGGCCGCCAATATTGATGTTTTAATTTCTGAAACGTGCGATTGGCAGCAAAATGTCGTCCGGTAAATGGATCATCATGATAAGCTTTTAGAATTGTTTTAATCATCGATGATGGTAGATAAATAAGTTTTGAATTTCTTCCATTATCTTTTCTTGAGATCATGCGATACAAAATACCGTCTTCGTATAAATAATTTTGATTTTTGGGATTCTGTTCTAGTTGTTTAATTTTTTGTTGAATAGCCGGGTCTTTATCTTGTTCTTCTTTTAAGTGTCTAATATCAAAATGATTTGATGAATATTTTGGGACATTTTGATCTTGATTTTTAGATGAATCGTGATCTTTATGTGGACCTAAATCGACTGTTTGTTGCGGACCTGAAGCTGCTGGTGCTGGAGCTGATTGTTGCTGAAAAGCTCTGGTTTTTGAGCGTGTTGTAATGCTAACTAATGGTTTTGACTGAATTCCATAATCCTGATCGAAAAACTCATCTTCATCATGTGTAACTGGCTGATGTGACAAGTAGTCTGGTAAACAGTTGTGATGACCTTTGATGTGAATCACTTGTTCAATGTTAAATTCTTGCAACAGGATCGATAAACGATCAACTCGTTTATTTTTAATAGTTTTTGTGGTCATCTTGCAAATTGGACAATGATCGGTATAAATTATAACTGATCTTCCTAATAAATAGGGCCGCATCCTATGGACCGACACCCAGATAGCTAAGGCTTCTTTTTCGATGGTATCGTAATTTTTCTGAGCTGGTGTAATTAATTGTGAATGATAATACAAATTTCTCATTTGTCCATTAATTTTCTGTTGTAAAACGCCACCTACACCAACACCAGATGCATCAGTAAATAAAATCATTGGTTCAGAATCAACTGGAAATGCAAGAAATAAAGGTTCCGATGTTAATAATCGTTTTAATTCATGGAATGCATCAGATTGCTCTTTTTTCCAGCGGAATTTGTGATGATTGACTTTTGTTAGATTTGTAACTGCATGGATAGGAGCTGCAACTGTGGAAAATTTAGGTATAAACTTCCAATACCAAGCAATACCACCGATAAACTTGTTGGCTTGTTTTAGTGTACATGGTTCTTTTAATTCTAATATTGCTTTAATGTTTTCATGTAACGGTGTTATTCCTGTTTTATTAATTGTATGTCCACGGTAGTTAATTTGAGCTTTTGCTACTTCACACTTGGGAGGATGTTACTTTCATCTAATTGAATTAATACTTGGTTTAAATGATCAATATGTTCTTCGTATGATTTTGAAAATATTATAATGTCGTCAAGATAGACCATTGAAAACTTTCTACAGGATTCCAATAATTTTGACATTACATGTTGAAATGTGGGAGGAGAGTTCTTTAAACCCTGTGCCAAAACAGTGAATTCATAAAGACCGAATGGAGTTATAAACGCTATTTTATGACGATCTTCCTCACGAATTGGAATCTGAAAAAATCCAGATTTGAGATCCAACTTCGAAAAATATGAATAACCGCCTCCAAGAAGTTGAATAGTTTCTTCCATATTCGGAAGTGGATTGTTGTCCTTCTTTGTAATTGCATTCAATTTCTTATAATCGACTACTAGTCTCCATTTGCCGTCTTTTTTAGCCGTTAGGAAACCTGGTGAAGCATAATTTGATGTTGAGTGGCGAACATGACCAGATTTAATTAAGTCTTGTACGATTTTGTACATTTCGTCTTGTCTTTGTGGTAGCATGCGATGAGCTCTTGATACTGGTGGAGGTCCAGGGAGAGTTTCAATCATATGAGGAGCTGTTGTTTTTGCAACGAAAGAAACACTGGTGTCGAAAACTGTCTGATGTTGTAACAAAATGGATTGTAAATCTAAATACTGTTGAGGATCTTCAATATGTTTATAAGTTCTTCAATATTATCTCGCGCACATGGTTGATTTACAATTATATTAACATGAGGAGAATGAGAAATTTGTTTCTGTTCAGGTGATTGAAATTTAATTGTGCCAAGTATAACTCCTTCTGGTATGTAATATGGGTAATTTGTTGGATTATAAATAGAAACTTTCGTTGAATGCTTTTGAACGTTTAGCACGGAATTTGTCATGAGAAGGGGTAATCGCTGATTAAAATTAAACGATGGACGAAATAGTACCGAAGCCGATGAAATACCAGCTGATACCTTTGCTAATATATGTTGATAGGGAGGGATACGGATTGGATTGATTAATTTTACTGGCAGGGATAGATTTTCTGGATTTGGATCGATATTAATAGATATTGATGTTTTATCTGTTCTGACGATAACTGTTTGTGTGTATGCACTAATATCAAGTTTATATTTGTTGATGTAGTCCATGCCGAGTAAACAGTTAACTGATAAATCTTTTACAACATGTGCTAATATGGTGGTGATGACTGAATTAATTTTGATTTCGAGTTCTATTACACCAATTGTTTTTAGTGGAGAATGGCCGTCCGCTTGATATAAAAGATAGGGAGATTTTGCGTAAAATTTCTTGTGTTTCGTTGTCCGAAGAGCTTGTTCGGTGATAATAGAATTCGTGGCTCCAGTGTCTAACATAAGCTGCATGTGTTTGTTATTAACGAGGGGAGAAATGAAGATTAATGATGGATTGTTATGTTTACCGGAGGCATCACCATCATAGGATGCATCCGCTAGGGAAAAT